AAAAAAAAAGGAAAAACAGGGTTTGTAATTAAGAGTTTTGCTAGTTAAACAGGATTGACAGATCAAAACATTTTATTTTATCCAATGTTTTGCAAAACAGGGAAACCAAAACATGAAATATATCACAAATAGTATTAAGATAAATTATAGGCAACTTAACCTGACTGAGGGAGAAAACCCCCCAAAACAAATATGAGAATCGATGAAGTCTATGAAAGAAATTCATACTGCAGACTGCTGTCATATCCAGTTATGGCCCCATTTGATTATGGTCAGATCCAAAGGCCCTGGTGCTATAACCACTGATCTCTGTGGCCTGTTCATGAAACAGATCTGCTCTCTCTCTGGTCCTCATTTGCCACACCTTATTGCCATAGCTGAACAGCATTCTATTTTGTGTGGTTGCAGGAGTATTGCTGGTCAGTGTGAACTTCACGTGATCTTAAAAGATGAACCATGGGAAAACTGTCAGACCTGTTCTGCTCTGTTTAGCTAAACTTCCCTATTTGTTGGGGGAAAGGTTTATAAACGTTTATAAGGGTTTTCTGCAGTTTCACTTACCTTTTTCACGACGCTCTGCATTTAATCAGTAACAATGAGAAACACCCTGTTTCAGAATGACACTGAAAAACTAGTTCATCCATTTATTACTTCTTGGCTGGACTACTGTAATTCATCATTATCAGGATGTCCTAAAACTCCCCAAAAAGCCTTCAGTTAATCCAAAATGCTGCAGTAAGAGTACTGACAGGGACTAGAAAGAGAGAGCATATTTCTCCTCTCTTCATTGGCTCCCCGTTAAATCCATATTCAAATTTAAAATCCTTCTCATCACATACCAGATCTTGATTAATCAGGCTGCATCTTATCTTAATGACCGCATCACCCAATTAGAGCACTTTGCTCTCACACTGCAGGCTTGCTTGTGGCTCCTAGAGTATTTAAAAGTAGAGCCTGAGGCAGAGCATTCCGCTTTCAGACCCCTCTCCCATATCCCGCTTCTAGTTTGGATTCAGGAGACAGAAATCGCCTCTACTTTTAAGTTTAGGCTTAAAACTGTCCTTTTTGACAAAACTTTTATTTGGGGCTGGATCGGGTGACCCTGAATCCTCCCTTAGTTATGCTGCAATAGGTCTGGGCTGCTGGGGGATTCCCATGACGCATTGAGTGTTTCATCAGGAGTCGCCTATGCTGTCTTTTCCCCCCCGCTCCTCTCGTCATTTAACAGGACAGGTCTATTTTAACTTTGCAAAGTTCCTATTTAAGAAGCAATTTTGGTTCTGGGTCCTCCCCAACTCCTGAAAGTGAGTAAGGGAAATGAAGAGGCAAAAACTATCCCTAAAGCTCCCTGCAGTTTTCCAGCAAAACCCCAAAACACTAAACAAGGCAAACAGTACAACACTGTATGTTCGAGGAAGAAGTATTTCCCATGTTTTGATCCAACAGGAAATGTGCTTTGGTTCTCTTTCAAATGCTTGCTACACATACT